GCTTGACCTGCTGTGTTCATCCAGCTCTGCACCTTGTTGTCTCAGATTCTCCAGCATCTGCAGTTCCTACTATCTCTGGATTGCATAATGGTTGACCAACCTGTTGTCACTAAGAATTACAAACACCATCTTCACGCAGGTCATCATCTATCATACATTCTACGCTTACCTATCATCAGACATTACTGGTGCAAATAAACCAACTTTTCCAAATCCCCAAGCATTCTCTTTACACAAAATCATTCTCTTGACTCACTTTATTGGTCGTGAAAACTTTATCGTCTTCAGGAGCACTTCTAAAGAAAAGAAGTCCCCATTTCTCATCACCATGGAACACACAATCACATAAGGGAAAATTATGGCTAATGTTTACAGGCTTGCAACTAAAGAAAAGTGCCATAAAACTTTCATTTAGATTTGTTATAACACCAGTTCCTCCCAAACAGAATGATTATTGAGAGGAAAAGGTTGGAGTTTCTGATCTTGCAGTTCAACCCCTTGAGTGACATTTGCATTGACATTTGAAAAATAACCTTGGGGCAATGTATGAGACACCTACCAGTGATAATAAAATAGATAAGATAACAAGGTGTAGAGCTAGATGAAAACAGCAGGCCAAGCAGCATCAGAGGAGCAGGAAAGCTGACATTTCGGGCCTAGACCCTTCTTCAGAAATGGGGGAGGGGAAGGGGATTCTGAAATAAATAGGGAGAGAGGGGGAGGCGGATAGAAGATGGATAAAGGAGAAGATAGGTGGAGAGGAGACAGACAGGTCAAAGAGGCGGGGATGGAGCCAGTAAAGATGAGTGTAGGTGGGGAGTTAGGGAGGAGATAGGTCAGTCCAGGGAGAATGGACAGGTCAAGGGGGCAGGATGAGGCTAGTAGGTAGAAGATGGGGGTGGGACTTGAGGTGGGAGGAGGGGATAGGTGGTAGGAAGGACAGGTTAGGGAGGTGGGGATGAGCTGGGCTGGTTTTGGGATGCGGTAGGGGGAGGAGAGATTTTGAAGCTTGTGAAGTCCACATTGATACCATTGGACTGCAGGGTTCCCAAGCAAAATATGAGGTGCTGTTCCTGCAACCTTCGGGTGGCATCGTTGTGGCACTGAGGAGGCCCAGGATGGACATGTCGTCTAAGGAATGGGAGGGGGAGTTGAAATGGTTCACCACTGGGAGGTGCAGTTGTTTAGGGCGAACCGAGCGTAGGTGTTCCACAAAACGGTCCCCAAGCCTCTGCTTGGTTTCCCCGATGTAGAGGAGGCCACAACAGGAACAGCGGATACAGTATACCACATTAGCAGATGTGCAGGTGAACATCTGCTTGATGTAGAAGGTCTTCTTGGGGCCTGGGATGGGGTGAGGTGGGAGGTGTAGGGGCAGGTGTAGCACTTCCTACGGTTGCAGGGAAAAGTGCCAGGGGTGGTGGGGCTGGAGGGGATTGTGGAGCGGACAAGGGAGTCACGGAGAGAGTGGTCCCTCCAGAAAGCAGATAAGGGTGGGGAGGGAAAAATGTCTTTGGTGGTGGGGTCGGAATGCAGATGGTGGAAGTGTCGGAGGATGAGCGTTGGATCTGGAGGGTGGTGGGGTGGTACGTGAGGACGAGGGGGATTCTGTTTTGATGTTCCCCTCACCCATTTCTGAAGAAGGGTCTAGGCCTGAAACGTCAGCTTTCCTGCTCCTCTGATGCTGCTTGGCCTGCTGTTTCATCCAGCTCTACACCTTGTTATCTCAGATTCTCCAGCATCTGCAGTTTCTACTATCTCAAACAACAAAATACATCCCAGTATTTCGAACAGTATCCATTAATATGCAGCTAGACATCACAAACATGCCACAGTTTTGGTGGAAATATCATCAGATTGAACACCTTCAAATATAACTAATATAAAATAATAGTCAAGTGGAACTGAGTACAATGAAAATTGGATATTGCTTTTAGAAGCTAACTTTGGCCCTTGCTCACAACTATGATGATTTATTTTGTCTTATAGTGGTATAGTTAGCAATAGTATAAGTTGGATATATTTAGCATAGCTGAATGCCCAAGACATGAAACTGCACTTGTAACTAACAATGTTGTAGTGTGGGAGTTCAACCAGCACCAGAGTTGCTTCCTGCTCTCACCACTATCGGGAGATGACAAGGAGAGGTCAGGAGGGAGGGGAAAGAAATTCAGACAGTGCATCTTATCAAGCTGCTCTTTTCCAGTTGTTGAGTGAGGTTACTGATAGAGATCAGTCGCAGGTTACCTTTCTATTATTGTGAACATGTGCAATCCAAAGAGAGCAAAAATAAGAGGGAGGTTGTTTTCAAATAATGGAAAGACTCTTTCAAATTGTAGAGTTTTTTAATGCTTCCTGCATGACAGCAGTGATTTCAATAAGCAGTTCAATGTTTGTAAAACTCTTTGAAACTGCCTGTGATCATCAAAGTGTGTCATGTAAATGCAAGTCATTTATTTTTAAAATGATTGGTGAACTCAAATGGGCTGTGACAAAACAAACCTAACCTGCTTCAGAACAGCAGTCTGTGGAACTAAAAGTTGACTGTGTTTTGAGCACTGGTACAAATGCATTACTTGAGCGAAATATTTGCTTTTACATACGGTGTATTGATGACGAGACGATCCCATTGTCCTTTAATGTCATCATCAGATGGCTGCTCGGTAATGTACAGACCATCAAACTCCAACTTCCGGGCAATCTCCTTTTCACGTTTGAAGACCACAAGGGGAACCTTTGAACACATTAGCCAAGAAAATCAGCTCTAGCATTCTGGGGAGTGTAAAGAAATTAATGTAACATCAATACTTTGGTGTAAGCTTCAAACGTTACTGGTTGACCACATAACCTACGGCTGTTAACACTTGGATAGCTAAAGGCATTCTTGGTCATCAACTGAAATTGTTGGGGTCGTTTTAATGGTGTCCATCCCACGGCAGGAAACACAGCAGCTGGGTCCAATTAATTGCCAGAGGGGCCTCACATTTGTCTCCCCATGGAGGCAAACCCTGTTTGGGTTAGTGTTCAGGCAGAAGACAGGAAGGGCTGAAATGGGATACTGGACTAATCACTGACAAATAAACTCCACAACATTGTGGCAGCTCAGGGATGAGTTGTGGGCAACAGGCTTTTCCGAACCCTTGGAAGTCCACCCAGCAACTTCCTCGGCAGGTCACTGGAGGAAAGGGGGTAATTGTTGATGGTCCTTTGTAATCAGGCACTGTGTCAATGGGAAGGTGGGGTGGCTGCTGAAAGACAAACCCCCCCACCCCGCCCTTGTCCATGATTTTCTGTCACCGCTGCTCCACAATCCACATTCCATTTGAACTTACCTTTGGTTTGGGGAGCCATGATGACTCTGAGCCTCTGCTGGGTGCATTACTGGCAATGAAATATTCCCACCTTCTGATGGGCCAACAACTCTTGGCAAAAGGGATCTATGCTGCCAGGGACCTCAATTGCCAGAGAGGCCCAAGAGGCTGAACGGCATGTTTCTGTCAGGTCTCCCACAATGAACTGACAGAGATACCAATCAACCTGACAAATCCTAGTCAACACTGCTGAATCAACAACTGGTCTTCGTGTAGTGCCTTTAGCGTATTTAGAGCATTATCAGCATATTTAGAGCATTATCAGGCATCAACTGACCCAAGCTACAGAAGAAAGCATGAGGAAGGTGACCAAAAGCTTGAGTAATGAGGTAAATTCAAGGAATATCTTAAAGGAGCAGAGAAGACAGAGACAGAGATGGATATGTAAAGTGATTTTGGGCAAGAGTTCCAGAATTTAGTGCCTAGACAGCTGAAAGAGAGATTACAAATAAGGGGATGAATGAAATGCAAATAGACAAGAACCTGGGTTTGCGCAACATACTTTCCGGAGCTGAAGAGTTTTCCAGAAATAGGGAGAGGTGAGGCCATAAGAGATTCAAATACAATGACAAGACTTTTCATACTGAGGCACTCACGGATCGGAAGCAAAGTCAGTCAGCAAGCACAGGGGTGTTGACTGAATGGGACTGGGGTCAAAGTTTAGGTGGAGATCTGAAATTTCTGTAAGAAGACAGAATGGAGAATTACCAGGAGAGAAATGGAATAGTTAAACCTAGAAGGTTTTCAGCATCAGGTGAACTGAGGCAGGAAAAGTGACGATGATGGCTTGGTGAAGGTTGTAGGCAGCCTTTGTACTGGAGAGAATAGGGCGTTGGTAAGTCAGTTCAGGATCAAATAAACTGTTAAGGTTGTAAACAATCTGGCTCAGTTTGTGGGTGTGGGTTGGGGTCAACGGATAGGAAACAGAACATTTGATGATCAAAGATATGTAATCATACTGATGTTTATTTGGAGAAAACTTTGGTTTGTCTCTGACTGGATGATGGACAAATGAACAGTCTGACAATGAAGGTAGTGAAGGAGTGAAGAAAAGATGTGGTGAGACAGAGCCATGTGCTGTCAGCATACAGACAGAACATGCCTTTTTAGTTTATGTCACCTCAAAGCAACACATTTGATGTCAAATAGGAATAAACAAAGGATGGCTCCTTGGTGAAAGTCCAGAAGGAACAATGCAAGAGTGTAAAGAAGAATCTTTGCAGGAATAGATGAACCCTGTACAATTCAACAATGGAACAGAAACAACATATTTGGATATTGTCATCAACTTAGTACACTTCCATTTCTTTTGTATTTACATATTTTAAATAGTGACCAATTTTGCTTCAAATGATAGAATGCTAGGAACTGTAGAATTAGAAAGAGATTTAGGGATCTATGCATACAAAGAATATTGAAGTGCAGGAACCAGGCACAACAAAACAACCAATCTGACTAATGGAATGCTAACCTCTATATCTAAAGAACCAAAATATAAAGGTACAAAATCTTATTACAATTGTACAAAGCCCTGGCTAGACCCTAGCTGGAGTACTGTGTGCTGTTCTGAACAGCACACTTTTGAAAGGACATAATGATCTTGGAAGGAGATCGAGATCAGTGCAGATTCACCAGGCCTTCACGAATTAAATTACGAGGAGAGACTTCATACACCAGGAATGCATTCCTTAACTATAAGAGGCGTATAGATTATTTAATAATTTTGAAAGGATCGATAGGAACCATGGGAGACTCTATGACAGAGAATACAAAATGATTTCAAGATAACCTGATTGTTAAAATGAGTTAATTTTATCAATAATGAGCCTGAAAATTTGAATGGCTGCAGCACTTCAAGAAATGATGTGAAGTGCTAAGTCTCTGAGCTACACAGACTTCTTAAAGTGGGAGAGTTTGAAAGTACTGTACCTTCAATATGTAGTACCCTATGATGCAAAGCATTGAGATGATGGTATGATTAATGGCAAGGAGTGTTAGTGTTGGGGCCATGTATCCAGTAGTCTCCTGTAACACGTAGTAATCTACGTTATCATCATTCCAGAAACTAAAATCTTCCTCCTCATCATCTTCTGGAGGCTCAGTCACCTTAAAGTGAAACAAAAACAATAGAACACTTCTGAAACAACATAAAATATGTATTTCATGGTAAAACAAACATTTAAAACATATTTTCAACTTCCTATTTTTATTCAAAACTGACCATTTTAGAAATAAACTACAATGGATAAAAAATAGCTCTGACCAGAACTATTGAGAAGTTCATTTTACTTTTTTCGACTTTACCCTTCATTTTAAAAATGATCAGAACTGCAATGTATTTTTCATTGAGTTACTATTCAAATTTGATTCTGAAATTATTAAAAGGGCTAATTTTGGATGGTGGGCTGGAGTTTTGACATGATGATTTCAACTTACAGCTACACTTCCCTTGGACTGAGTTGAAGATTCAGTGTGTTACGAAAGCCTTTTAATTAAGAGCAGTTAACTGGCTGCTTATGTACGATTCCTAAGATCAACTGTTTTAAACCAATAGTGCCAAATGTTTGTAAGTTTCAATTCATAAGAACATAAAGTCAAGTGTGAAAAAATGGCATCTAAGATCCTCATCCAAAGCCAGTAAACACTTATTCAGTCATGAACATTTTTCCACATCTCTCAAGCAATACCAAATGCATCTCCCATTGTTCTTGGAGAGAAAAGAACACAAATAGGTCTCTCATTTGTAAAACCCTCAATATCTTCTCAATAGTTACCAAACATTTAAAAGTTGTCTCTGAGACCACTACTACCCTATAGTGAAAGAAACATTTTTCGTTAGTGTTTAATGCTGACGAATTTAATATTATTCCATTGCTTTGAGCCAAGATTTCTTCCTTCCTTCAATCATATTATTTAAAGACCACCATCTCCTCTCCACTCCTTAAGCATTGTTCCTGGGTTAATGACTAAAGACTCGATATGTACAATTCAATTAGCAGTGAGTCTCACAATCATCATGAACCTGTGAAGTAGATAGATTTTGTTTTTTTTCAACTTTTTTTCCTCCTATGAATCAATGATGAGGCCAGATCGATGTTTCACTCACACTCAACATTTTATGTCTCAAATTACTCACCTGACCATGGAAAAGTATTTAACTCCTGCATAATTCATGAAAACTTCAAGTTGAAATTTTTGCTACAATTCTGACAAACATGTAATTTAGAAAATTATCTCCACTTCTGAGAATCCACATTTTAATTTTTAAAAATACAAATGTTAATTGTTATTATAAGTAGCAATTTGAAATTCTATATACTTCTTTGAATTAAGCAACGTCAAATTATGAGGAATAACTTGAATTTAGTTTACATCAATATTGGATTGGGTTCTGCATCAAACATGGCCCTGACTGGATCTGACCCTTGACCTCCATGTACTGCACTTCAGCCATTTTCCTGTCATACCTAGAGGT